ATATATTTTACGTTAATATTAATTTGTTAATAAAAAAACTATAAATAGTATAAAATTGCAAAGATTACATTATATTTGATATAATATTTATTAAATTTATAAAAAATATAAAATATAAAAAATTTAAATAAGGCAATATAGAGAATTATTTTTTAACAATAAGTATATAATAAATATTACAAAAAAATATTGTCAATTTTTATTACATACACAAATAGTCGAACATATATTTTCACATAGTTACATATATTTATTTTATACTGTTGTATGTATAATAGGTAAAAAACAATATGAATTTCTATATGGAATACAAATAGCTTTTGCACAAACGTCGTCAGAATTAAAAGTTTGTATTTTTGACCATGTATTTCCTACAACAATGTTAAACTGTAATGAACTTATAGGGTAATTCTCAAGCTCAACTGGATTTAATAATGTTTTTCCTTCTAAAATTATGTTGTTATTGTGAATGCAAATATTTGTTATGGACAGAAAATTATTATTTTTTAAAAAACAAAAATTATCGTTAAATTTTTTTACTGAAAGTGTGAAGTCTTTGTAAACAATGTTGTCATATGAAGATATTCTTGTCTTCTCAGACTTTTTGGCATTGAAATTTTGTAACTGTGGTTTTAAAATTGTGTCTATTTTTTTTGAAAAATTGCACTTAGCTCGTTCAACAATTCTATTATACAATTGTTGTAATGGTTTTTCAGCTTTTTTTAATTGCTTTTTTATACTATATAAAAAACTTTCAAATGGAAAACTGCTAAAGGAATCTAAATTGCCAAATTTTGCAACATCATTAGATAAATGTATCAAATTGTGAACGTTATAAATCATGAATTCTTCTCCATATAGATCTTTAGATGTTTTTACAAAATAAATTAGTAAATCTTTAGCATATTCATTATTGAAGATGCAATCAGTTTCATGACATAAGATTCTAATTGCGCAATGTAATGAGTTAAAATGTATCATATATTTATCAGATAAATAACTTTGTAGTATAACAGGGCCTACATATAATAAAAATAGTCGCAGTTCAGTAGCTTTCCACCGATCAATTTCATCTAAGCTACGAGTTTTTCGTGCAAATTCTGACGGAATCCATTTTGAAATATGATTTAAACGTATAGATATTTCTTTTATCATATTTGCACTAAACTTGACAGGCTTAAAATGTCCTTTGACAAAAAGTTGTAATATTTTTTTTACGACACCGAGGAAAACGAGGTGCATATAATCTAGGGGAAATTGACTGACCATTCCTAAATTTATTTGTTCAAAAGTAGATGTTCCATTGTGATGATCTGTATTTTTTCTATCAACAAAGTTTTCATCACTTCTTAATTCTGCATTGAGATCAGAAAATGTCATTCTATGGCAGATATATTTACCCTCTTCCATGCATTTTGAACAACCAAAGTAACCATTAAATCCTTTTGTACATGTTACAAAACATCGAGCTGGTGTATCACAAATAACTGCTCTAATTGTTACTTTAAACTGTAAATTTTTATTAAATTGGAAACCTTCTTCATGTAATGTTTTATATTCTTTAATAAAATCTTGAAGAAATATATTAGGACATTCTGGCTTATTATATCCATGATAAGCACCAATAATAAATGGTTCAACAATGACTGGATAGATTTGACCTAATATTGGATATAATTGACTTTTTGAACTTTTTGTCAATGGTAAGCCATCTATATTAATATTTATCTGAATGTTGTGAGGTACTTTATTGACATCTAAAGCTTTTAATTAATCAATTAGGGCGTTCTTTAAACCATAATGAAAATATTGACCTGGCAGTACATCACGTAATACAACATCTTTTGGTGTATGCATAAGTGTTCGTGGATCCAATGGAAGATCATGTAGTTCGCTAATACTTTTAACATTTTTTAAAGATTTTAATAAGACTCCTAGTGCTTGATGACTGATGTTAAAGCGACATACCCAATGCATTAATTCTTCTTTAAAATATGATTCAGTTTCTTTCGTATAATTCATCTGGCATGGTTTAGTCTCCATTTCAGTAGTAATTGAAACGTGAGGTTTGTCACAATCATTTTCGTGATTTTCGTCATCACAAACATCCATTTCAATAACTGCAGAATAATTTTTTTTTAGTGGTGGATGCGCAGAAACTATTTTATTATTATTTTCTTTATTTGAACTGCACGTTAGATTGTAAATTTTACGAATTAGTCTTCGATTTTTTTGGCTTCTAGATAAACTTTTAAATTTTTTTCGTTCAGACATCTAAAATATAACATTATAAATTAATAAATAAGAAAAGGCTTGACTATAAATAAAATTAAAATAAAAAAGGAGTGTCAATATAAGTTTACGGTTCTACAGGTGCATAATTGTACGTCATTCTTAACAGAATAATTATGTAATAAACTAATTATAATGTTTTACTTACCCTGCAAAATGTTTTGTATAAAAAAATTGCCTCTTTAACTTTCTTAATTATTCTTCACACGAATAATACGTATCTATACTGTATATTTTATTATTGTCTAGCATTAATTGTTGAGCACGACTAGCATTATTAGCAAATTTTAGGTTAGATCAATTTCTTGTGATATCTTTTTAAATGACATCAAATAAATCTCTCATTAAAGATATCATAACTCTGTCTAGTTTCTGAGCCGTCTATACAAATATATAGCGATCACGCATGCGCATTTGAACGGCTCAGAAACTATTCAACTTAATGACATATTTCATGAGAGAACCAACTGATATCATGTAACGCAATGTCATAAAGATAACAATTTTAAGAAATATCTCAAATAAGATATCTTAAAGAGTTCTCTTAGAAGTTTCTCAAGATGACTCTGATAAATGAAAATTATGAGATATCATCTAGACATAATTT